CTGCAGTCACTGCTTGAATTGGAAAATGTGATTCAGGCCTGGGAACTGTGCCTCTCCTGATGATATTACGGAGAAATAATTGCAGCTTGACTCATAATCGGTCACCCGCTGCAAGCACAATCTTGTCTAACCATTGGTTTTGCGTTGTGTCAAGTTGGTCCAAACGTGTCAATTTGGTCTTCGTTAGGAAAATGAACGGAACGGTGACATCATTGGCTGTCTCCCCTTAAACAGTGCACCTGTTGAGTTTCCGAGCCAGTCAGTCAACAATTACTTGGCTTGGAAGGATCGCCTGACAGACTTATTTCCCGGCAAGTCTGTTCGGGCAACACACGCAAACTGCGCACCCCCTCCCAAACACCACGTTAAACATCATATGAACTGAGTAAGCTGTTTGAATCACACATGTCAAAGATGAGCCCACTGCAGGTAGAGCTCAAAGAACACATTTTGCGCATGCATGAGGGATACCCAATATTTGCCTGTGATGCATGGTTTTTGGACTTTTTCATGGCTCGGGCAGATGTTGATGAGGAAGTGTGCGATATTTGGCCTAGTCTGCGCTGACTTACCACAGGCGGTCATGGAGGTACATGTAGCCAAATAGGTGCATGTGGAGACTGAATGTGCGCGGACAGTGCTGGTTGTTGATGCATTTGTGGTGAGTGTATGTCGGTCGTCCTGGCACTCAGTCGTCAACCACCGGGCAATGGATTCGGACATAACCGATCAGACCTCCACGGCATGTGCATGTGCAATGGCAGTCTAGTGGCATATGCGGTCGCGATGGTGCTGCGACTGATGTTGACCACTCGAGTGGATAGCGATTTGACGGTGTTAGAAATGGAAAATATGTCAGTTTTGCAAGGTCTGATTGGTGGGACGATATCACAATTAGTCTCACTGCTATGGCTGTGCAGGTGGTCGAGACAGTCCTTTTGGTGAGAGAAGTTGCTTTGGCACTGCGGATACTGATGTCGGATGCAGAGATTTTGTGGAAACTCCTAGCATTGATGCACCGCTATCGATTGTAGAAAGATTTGGAAGTGACTGACCGGGCTGATGCGGGACATGAATGGGCGATTAACGTAATAAGGACAGACTGCTATATGTTCTTATTGTCGATGGGGAGGAAGCGGCATTTGTGTTGGTATTGGTTGATGAGGTGTCCCGGCTGCTCCCGCTGCTGGTGGTGGAAACGAGAGGAGTTACCTATGTTACGACGACGTCAAACGACCAGACCGATTGCGGCAGCGGGGCATTTTGAGTACGATCCCAAATGATCGCGCTGGTGGTCTCTGTGGGTATTAGTGCAGAGTTTTAACTTATTGCTTTGCAGTGATAGCATGTGGCGGTGGTTGATCTTTGCGCAGAATATACGCTAACGGCAAGATTTGATGTCAGCTTTGTCGCTGACGGTCGAAGGCGCTTAGGATTCACCAGCTGTCCATCTATCTTTATCATCATCGACCCTGTTGGCGTCGTAGTTCGCTGCCCCTGACTTCTCGCGACCAAACATTCCGGAGTCTGGTCGTTTGATATATGCTTAAAGGGGCTCCTAGAAATGCCTTTTTAGTAATCTTTTCATCTGCTTTGTCAGAAATCCTCCTGTAGCGAAATCTTCCTAGAAGATTAATTTGGTTAATCGATCATTTTTGATCCTCGTGCGGTGCCGCGTACAAACAAAATCATCTACTTTTATGTCAACTGACCAATGATGGCAAACCTCCTCGGTTCAAGGTGATATGAGCCTAGCGTGCGTATTCCTTCCCGTTAGTCTTTTGCACTTAAGTTACTCGAAAGCGTCGGGAACGCTGAAGCTCCCTACTCCAAAAAGTCCATCATTGCAAATATCACAAACAATCTAATAAACTCTGCATTATAATGAGATTACCTGACGGAAGAGTCTTTTTGAGCTGGTTTGCAGAGTTCGTGCAAGTATATGGCAACAACTGATCGTAAACACACAATTGAACCCTCATATCATATTCTGTAAGGTCGTTCAGGTTACTGAGGGTACAGGAATCTGGTGAAGATGACGCCGAACTTCCATCACAAGTTACGATTATCCTTCCGTTCTGGTATGCAGTTGCCATTGATGCGTAAACCTCATCCGGGTTGTCCCAGCGCACCTCCAGAGATTAAGGGCGAAGTGCCTACACCGTCACGTTTATTGGCGAACTGTGAACTGTTAAAAAGGCCGTATAATTAAAGGTTGCCATGAGATATAATACAATAAAGCGAAAGCAAAGCTGCATATGAATTGTCATAAATAGTTTAAAGGCGGTTACACCGTCCGCAAGCGGCGTTTCAAATACAGCTTAAGCGATTTTGCGGTTTCGTTTATAGAATCGTTTGATCGTTGCATGCTCCTCTTCTTCTAAACGCGCGTACCTTATGATGAAATGGAGTCTTATAAAGCGTGTAATGGCATTTTAAACGAAAAAAACTATGTAAGATGTTAAGTTGTACATAAATGCGAACAGGCAAAACCTCGTTTTCATGCTGATAGGCTTTACGTGGTAAAACACAATTGGGTAAATACAGTGGATTTTGAATCGTGAGTGAGGCGTTCTGCAGCAAGTATAAATGGTAATTATGAATACTTTGAACCCTATTGGATGCTACATTTGCATTCAAACTTTACAATCTACGTGTTGTATACACTCGAACTAAGATTTCGTTAAACTATGGAGAAGGGGCCGTATTGTTCTCCTGAATATTCCCAATGGATGCGGATAATGCTGTATATAGAAATATTCGAAAACTAAAAGGCATAATTCCTTTAAATACAAAATCTGAAATAGACAAAACCTGCTACCAAATGGATACAGAGAAGAATATTTTAAGGATGCTTTCTGCAAAGTATACTTGACTTATAAAGGCATAGAAGTACGATAAAATGAAGGCATAAAATGTAAGTAGCTGTTATTGACAGAGTCGTCTTGTTGCAACCGGTCAGAAAGAGTATATCTTCAAAAAGCAGCATTTTAACGTGGTTGAAATACTCCGAGACTTTACTGGTCAACTATTAATATTGCAATCCTATTTACGTGATTTTGCGAACTGAGTTTCTTTTAACTTTTCATGAAGTCAGCCATTTGCTTCAGTCGAGGGCTCCTGTTAAAACCTAACACTT